ACGCTGTAAGACCCTCCAAGCATTTTAGCAGTATTGCAATGTACTATCACCTTGCGTCTTGTCTGATCAACTGCCATCATGATCGCATATAAGGCACAATAGTTGGCTTCTTCTTGAAGCTTCTCAGCATCAGTCTAGTTGTCCTTAGGTTTAGAAACTGTGATTTTCGTTGTTGTTTCTTTACCTTGATCGGGTGCTTGTTGCAATTCCAATATGAGTAGTTCGAACTGTCTAATTGCGGAGGCCTGGACATCGATCCGCTTTCTTGATTCATGATTTGAGAGAACAGACGTCCAAGGATCTTTCGTACTGAAGACGAAAACCCGCTCTGGTGCCAATTATAATTTGATACTTGAACACCAAGTATTCAGAGTTGCACAAAAATAGACTAACAAACAGTAATGAATATTCAAACAGTTGCGGAAGCAGCTTTCACCAAAAATTGAACCTTCAGGAGAGCGTCCCACTCTCCCTTCAGATCTCTTTCATTAATGTGCACAACTCATACATCATCCAAGGGTTTACAGTATAGACTCCCTCTACACTCTACTTGAATAATGATTCACACAACTACTTATCTGACCACAACTCCCTTGTGGATTTTTTTTAGTTCGAATCCCTCAAACTAAATCAGAATGAACCTCCGAACATTCTGTTACAAAAACTAATATGATGTGCTTATCACTCAAGAAAAGAAAACAAAAATGAAACTCAAAAATTCTCAAAACGAAAGTCGTCCTCAACTCTGGTCTCGTCCTCCTTTTATATTCAGCATCCTATAGGAAGTATTTCCACCCAAGACAAATGCGCATAAGGAATATAAATCTCTCGAGCTTCTTCAGCTTTGATTATGTAAAGTGTATATCGCGATCTCCCTTCACTCTATATTATGGAAAGTGTATCTCGCGATCTCTCTTCACTCTATATTATGGAAAGTGTATCTCGCCCTCAATCCCAAAGTCCTGCCAAAATAATAAAATAAATAATCAGTCCTTTCGACTTAATTATAATTAAAACTAATTCATGCCAAAAATAAACTTCCCTTAAATACTTCCGTAAATTTCTGGACTCTGCGAACATCAGAAGGTTCATCGATTTACTGCCAATCTTCAGCACTTACAGACATGAAGACAGTTCTTTATGATTTGGCAGTAGGAAGTCTTATGTATGATATGCTAGGTACGAGGCCGGATATTAGCTATGCCTTTGGCATGATAGCTAGATATCAAAGTAATCTAGGATGGGACCTGTAACGCCCCGTTCGTTTATTAGAATTTCTAGATTTTTATGTTATTAATTATTTGCTTATATTAATTATTTGCCTTTGCTCTATTTATTTGCCGGTTAATTTATTAACTGCTCATTTCTTTTATCTGCTTATTTATTTGACTACTATGTAGATTTATATATATGATTATTATGTGTTTATTTATTATTTAAATGTATTAGAATTATTAGGATTTATTTGAGTAGAATCTTAAATTCGTTCGGCAATTTCCGGCTTAATCGCGTAAAGCCCTTTTCGATCCGTTTGGATCCGTTTCTTTGGGTATTTTGCTCGAGCCTTGGAATTGTATTATTTCGGCCTTTTTGTTAGCCCAAGCAAACAATTCCATCTACCGTAATTTCTCCCTCTTTTTCACGATCTTCTTCCCGCAGCTATCAACCATCTACTCTCTCTCACGCAAGTGCAAACCAGAAGGAGAAAATCTGCCTCTTATCATCGTTGTTTTTTTTTTTTTAAAAAAAGAGGGGAAAGAAAATCTGATCATCATCATCGCTTAACCTCCATTTGGTTGTTGTCAAGCCGTTCAGGCTGCGAGACCACTGGTTGCCGCCCTGGTTGCTGGAAGACCAGACCACTCCCGCGCGAGACGACCCCTACACTCGCGCGATCAACTCCAGGCTATCCACCATCGACCGGGTTCCTTCCTCAACCGTGGACTGCAGCCCCGCGAACCCTTTCTGCTGCCATCGTTGAGTCGACCGAGAGCTCCGACATTTCTCTGTAACAGCGAGTAGACCTCAATACGAATGCCATCGTGTCCTCACCGTTGAAGTCGGTGCCACCACGAATGAGCACCGAGCCCCGTCATCACCATCGTGTTTGATCACCATCGTCGGGTCCCACTGTTCGATCGCGTGCCAGCGCCGTCCCAAGCCCGTGTTCCATTCATGAGCGACCCGACGACCTCCATACATTGTTGAACGTGCATCGTCGAACGCTGCAGCTGTGAGTGGGACCCGCATTTATCAAGAAGCATCCCAAGGCTTGCCGTTCATGCCAAGAGCCTAGTCGAGCCTCAAAACCACATCTTTTCCGATGAGCAGTAGCCCTTTCGGGCCCCGTGCGAGAGCGGAGTGTCGAGAACCCCAACAACAACCCCATAGAACCGAGCCCTTCACCTTTTTTCTTTGTTCTCTCTTGTGGTGAACGGTAATGGATGGCTCTCACTCGTCTTTTAATGGCATTTGATAAAATATATTGGTCTTCGTGTTTGTTTGAGCTGTGTTGAGATATCATGTGAATTTTAATGCCTCGTTGATAAGGGTATGAATAGATTAAATTTTAATTGTTGTATGTAGTGATCTCTTCGATTTTGTGAAATCGAATGAGACCTTGTTCAAATCGTGTTAGGGTTGTGGATTGTGGAACTTGGATGAGTCCTTGGCC